TTTTCAGATCCCAGATTAGAGTGCTGATGTTCTGTTTTTCATGCCAAGTTCCGGATCATAACCCAAACCAACTAGGTTCGCGCTATGCATAGGATGTTTAATATTAATGGAATTACTATTATCACGATTATTTGTTCTTTTTAAACCAAAACGCATTCGCTCATTTACGTTAATTTTCAGGTGCTTGTGCGTTTGTGAGCAGCCGGTTTATGTGTCAGTTTTGAACAAATACCAACCAAAAAATCCACAAACTAGAAAAAAAAAAAAAAAAGACACAATTTCGGGAGTTTCTGTGTCGCGTGTTAGCGGAGTATTGAGAATTGGGATCTTTTGAATTGGAACTGAACCTGGGAAATCATAAGCCGGGACTTTGCCAAAATATCCTGAGAGCTGCAAAAGTTTTTTTTTTTCTTTTGGTTTATTTTAGAGCATGAAATAAAGCGCCTTTTCATGAAAAGCTTGAGGCAAGACATAAAACATTGCACGAAATCATTTGGTACCTCCCTCTCAATTTCATTATTCGTCCTCATCGTCATGCATGCCAACGTGTGTCTGCATGGTATGTCCCAGGAGTTTCGTGTGATAGGCAACAATTTGGAGACAAAACTGGTTTTCTTACCTTATCCCCAGGCTTCTAGAACCGAAAACAACTTTTTCACATCCGCGTATGAAACGTCTCCACATGAATATCATTCACAGGTTTGCTCCGGTAGGCCCATGTTGTCACAATCACGATATCTCCACTCGTAGACGAAAACACGACGCTTGCTTTTTGCCAGGCACGAGAACGAGCTGTACAATTCTTCGTAGCCTTCTTGAACGACGTCCGACAAGCGTAGCGCAGTTTCGCTTTGGCCAGCTAGAACGGGACGACACGCGTGCAGTTGACGAAGCGACGTGGGCTGGTGTACGCACTCGCTCTCCTGTTCACAACATAATTACAAAGGCCTCAATTAATTTGCGTCTAGTCTTGTTGAATGTCTTTAGCGTAAATGGCCGGGTTTCCAGTTGGCTGTTGAATAGGAATAACTTTTGGCAGGAGAGCCAAATAAAACGAGCAACAGTGCTTTTCGTTGGCCTCGTATGAACTAGGCGTACTCATCGATTAATAGCACGATATGTTTTTGACATACCTTTTCAGATTTTCCGCCAAGAAAAACTTCAAAGAATTCTGACTCTCGTTAATTGAAACGTACAGAAAATGGGAGCTAACCGGAAGTACTCTATAGACCTTTTCTGCGAGTGCGCCGCCATCTTGAATTGACGTCACTTCCAGTATGGGCGAAAACCTTGTTTTGCCTTTGCCACGCCAATAGAAGGCATTTGGGATATAAGCGTAACCGTCACACTTCCTCGTTTTGCCTCCCCTTTATTTTTTTACTCTTTGCAGGTTGAAACGTTGGATTATTTTTTCGTCGCCCATACCGGATACGCCTATTAGGTGGCTAAGGACGAGAGTACACAGAAAAGGTCTATAGTCCGTTGCAACCTAAGAACGAAGGGCGAGAGTAAGACGGGCCGATGAGGAGGAAGCAGACGGAACGCTAAAGAGAGAAGGAGGTTTCCCCCTCTCTTCTCCAGCGTTTCGTCTGCTTCCTCCTCCCCGGCCCGTCTTAGCCTCGCCCTTCGTTCTTAGGTTGCAACGGACTATAGTGTCCTGGAATGTACGCCATTGCTTGTTTATGTTTACCTCGGAATGCCATGCATGGCCGCTTATGTTGGAAATTATGGTTGGCCGATGGAGGTTTTCCTCCAGGGACCGCCAGATCCAACTCCCTGCGACTTTTTTTTGTGTGTGTGGAGATTTTAAATAACGCCTCTATTTCCATTGGCACAGCAACTGGACGCATTGGCGTATTTAGTGTATGACACGAGCCCGACGACTTGAAATACTAGTGCATTTCTAATGCCGCGGAGTAGGCGGCATTCACTGGACGTCATACTTGAGCATGGTGTTCCCAGCGCAGGCTCATAGGAAGCCCGTATACTTATCTTCTAAGAGCTACCGTATTGGCAGTGTGGAATACACGATATCGAGGGTTTGTGGCAGCTCACCATAAACTTTCTTCGTAGCAACGAACTCACGTATGGCCGCCAGTGAATACCAACTATGAATATCCCAGGTTGTGCTGGGGCACGCGTGGACAGGACTGACCTACTGTCTTGACAGCTGCCGTGTCACCGACGTTGACCACGTCGAACATTTATAAAGTGCATTTAAAACTTCAAAAGTTTTTGACCTTTATATATTTAAGGTCATGATAGTTGTAGTATATTCAAGTTAATTTAAAGATTAATAAATTTTACTCTCATGGTTGCATATGAATACCCCAATTTGTTGAATGTTTTATGGAATTCAGTGAACTGAGCTGCTGGCAATCAGCGTTGCGTTAAAAAAAAAAGGCGTAAGTCATTCAATCTAAACAATGCGGGAAAGTTACTTTTCCCCATGATTGAAGCTCCGAACGTTTTTATGATGAAGGGATGTATCTTTTGCTGAACGTGACTCCCTCCATATCAACCTCTCGTGTTAGGTTGAGTGCTGAACACTCAACTCCGCATGAGAGGCTGATACACAAGAAGTCATGAATCCATTAGCTATTTTAAGGGTTAAATAGAGCAAAGCTACCCAAGTTGGTCTGTTTCTGTCCCTGATATTTATCAACGGGTGTCTGATTGTTTCGCTCGCGATATGGACTGAACATTATACGAGACTCGCTATTTTGTCTAGCCGCTTTATTTTTGGCTTATCAGAATCAAAGAAAAGTCCCATACAAAAATGCACATAATAATTCTAGCAACAAAACCAGAAACACACAAAGATAAACATTCTTAATATTAGCAGAAATCATACACTTTCATGGGTCCTACCATTCACTAGGTTTTCTCTGGAGATGAAGTGACTAGCCTTTGTGCACTACAGAAAATAAAAGTGTTTTTTTATTCAAGTATGAGGTTAGCAGCTCCAACTTTAAAGGAACTTATTTTCGAGTCAGCAGCTATATCTAAGTTAACAACAGAACCCGAATGATTTTCTTCATGGGTATTCTTGAATTTGCTTGGACAATGTAGCTAAAAATAAGAACAGAAATCGACACTTCTTGAGTAGTGTATTTTTTCCCATTTCGGTGGCTTCAAACAACGACTTTCTGAGCCATAAGTACAATATTTGCAAGAAAACTGTATGGAACATCATGCTTTGTCGTGGCGGGTCCTATTACAGTAAATACTTATCTGGGTTTTCTCATTCGAAAATAGCGTCAAGGCACGTTGAGCTACATAACGCTTTATTTACAACGTTTGCAAATGAACAACTGCAGCGTTCGGAGGCATCTGGCGAAGATGCTATTCCGTCGCTCAAGCGCATCTCGTAATTACTTCGTCTTCGTTCCTGTGCTCGTCGTCCCCTCAAGGAAAAATAAAAAGAAAACTTTGCGCATTGTTTTTACTTTGCGCGAAGTAGTTCTTACGCGATTTGGTTGACGGAGCCGGAAAGAAGATATATGCTTTCGGTGCTTGAAACGTGTACGTCTTGATAAGATAACACGTATCTAATGTAAAGTGCACCTATATGCATCTTAATTCTCATTGAAATCTGAAATTTGGAATGCTATGCGAGGGGTCGGACGTTTTTTTACTATGATTCTTGAAGTAAAAAACAGTACAGACTGGTCCCAAAGAACACAATGATTTGCTGTCCGTGTCATCAGGACGAAAGGAACCGCGCGGGTGCGACTTAGGAAAGAGCTCAAAAAGTAAACAGTGTGATACGTATTCTTTATACGCATGTTTTTAAGGCGAAAGCCTTACTTGTCCCATTACGCGAAAAAGCGGCGGCGTTGTCCCCGAAAGATGGTCATAAAAATACGTCATCAAGCACGCACCTCAGAAATAAAACACAAAGAAAAGCACAGCAACGCAGATGCTTCGTCGCGGAAGCCGCCGTGAAGCCGGCAGCTTCACGAAGCCATCACACTCCCCCACCGCGCCTGCGCAGTGGGGGAGCGTGATGTCACCGCCGGAGCGCCGTGTGCGAAAGAAAGGCGTAGCGCGCTGCTTTGAAGAATGCGTGGCTTGTAGGAATGCTTTTGCATTCCCACACGTAAAAAATCTTAATTGTCTTTGGCGAGTTTTTTTAAGTGGGTCTGGAAGTTAAAACAGCGAACTTAGTCCTGGGGCTATGTTGGGCTATGTTATCGGTGACGTGAAAACTTTGCGGAACGCTAGACCCCACCGTGGCCGAGCGTCAATTTTTTAATGCCTCTATGCACCCAAAAATCCGAATTAAGGAAGTTCACGAAAGCTTTCTAATTAATTAGCTAACTAATTACTTCCAATTTATTAGAGTTAAGTCTAAGTTGGTTAAGTTGGCCACCAACTTAGCCGCAGGGCTAAAAATACCCGCTTCAACTTACGGCTTGGGGAATGGCAGGGATGAGAATATGTCTGGACCTCAAACATACTGCGCTGTGATACTGAGCAAGGTGAAACGTCGCGATTAGTGCCGCAGCGCAGGCAGTTACTTGAAGTCTAGGCCTCAACGTACTTTCAGCCTTGCCATTCGACGATCGCCCTCAGTGGATTGCAGCGATTGGCTCTCTCGAGTGCTTTGCAGGGACGCAGACGCTCCATCGAGGCACGAGCACGGCGGAAAAAAAAGAGAGGTGCCTGAACAAGGCCGAAGAAAGATGCCGAAATTTTACTCTGGCTTCGCGCATCTCCCAGCAGGAGGCACTGTCGGTTTAGGGCTCTCGCGCAGGCGCGGTCGCACTCCGCGTGTCCTTGAAAACGTGTGCGCGAATAAGGACGGTTCCTCGAGCTCCTAGCCATGTTGCGCACCTCACGGCGTTTTAAAGAAAGGCAAGGGAACCTTTGACAGACACATTTGACATCGAGGCGACGTCAAATGTGTCTGTCTAACAACTCTCTCTTCTGCGTTTTTTTTTTTTTTAATTGTGGGCACGATGGCGCAATGTAAAAGCGAAACAGATGTCACGTACCTCGGGGGGAAGATCAGATGAGCTGGCGAGAGAAGTGACGACCAGGAGGCTGACTAGAGCGGTTACGAGACGATGGGGGACGACCATGGTGACAACTGACTGTCTCGCCACAGGCGTGGAATTCACGAATTCCCTACTTAGTGTTCTCCGTCGGAGTGCGCGGCGGCTTCGGCGTGATGAGTCGCCCTCACTCAATCACTCGGGCCAGTCAGCTCGACGAAGTCGGGAGTGCTCAGGGCGCCGCTGATCGCGGTGTTGCGGAGGAGGAGCTGTTCATGAACTCACTGGGTCGGGTTCAGGCCATTCGCCGCGGCACTGATGACTCAATGTCACCCCCCTGACTTGACCTGGAAAGAAAGAGACGAAATGAGGTTCACTTTCAGCGAGTTTGAGTGTCTTTTTTAAGGGAATAACCCTACAAAACATAAAACAAAACACTGAGAGTCTCAGTGACTCACTAATTGGTACACAATCTTTCCCTTCTGTAGATTTTTTCTTCCTTTTCAGAAGTTCAGTTGTATCAACAGATACACTCGCGTTTACGCGTAATTATAAACGAAACTTATACTTTTGTCAAATAGCACGTAGTCACCCCTTCGCGCTCCGTTCTTCTCGGCCACCCCGCAGATGAAGTGTTATACTCTAAGCTCGGTAACCTATAATGTGACTTGTAAAACGAAGTCACCTACAAAATAAAGGTTACAACGGCGGTAGTTTTGGTGTTTAAATTATTTCCGTCAAGACTAAGGCTACAAGGCCCAAATCGAAAGCCACAAAGCTGATCTCAAGGTTACTTGAATGGCAACCGACGTGTAACCTCTACACAGTAACATATAACAAGCGCGGTTAGCTACGAAGCCTTCACTGTAACCTTTACGCAAGTCTATTTTTTCTTCCTGCGGTTCAGGGTGGAAGGTCGGGAGAACTCACACTCGGGATGCTTCATGGGCCCATGATGAAGACGCCGTAATCTGTGGTGCAGTTTATTACGTCGTAAACTTTCACCTCCCTTTTCATGCTCAGCTATTGATTCTACCTCAAGAGCTGTTTTGCACTAAGTACACTGTCCTTGGATATTGGTGAATAAAAAACCGAACATCTGCTTTATGTTGCGTTATTGGCCATATTACTTTGAAGGACAAATTCTCATCTATTGTTCGGACATATAATATAGGATTTTTTAAACCATTGTGTGTTGGTTCTTTGAATTCAAGACATCCGTCTTCGTGGCCGTCGCGTGTTTTGTACTGATTTTCGGTTTAATTAATAAACTCTAATTTATTGAATCCACTGAGTTTAAATTATTTTGACAGTGCTCTACAACAACGTGGCGTTTTTGTATCGTGTTCGACCGAGGCAGCACAAAATCGTCCTTTCATACAAAAATAAAGTGTCTGAGACGCGAGACGCTCACTCGTCTCCGAGTCTAGCGTTCGTCGTTTCAAACACTTTATTTTTGTATGAAACAATGAATCTGGTGCACCGGTCGAGCGCACGGTTTAAAGGTTAGAACTATTGGCGAAAAGTAGGGGCACACAACGTAACCTCTAAATGATTTGAAGCAATACCCATGCTAATGGTTACAAAGCTTTAGGTTACAATGTACCTTATAAAATAAAGGTATATGCTAGGATTTGAAAATGTGCACATATAGTATGGGTTACCAAGCTTAGTGTTTAAGCATCATTAAGTTCGTCAACGCGGCCACCTGGAAGCAGTCAGTAGAAGCTTGCTACCCGCAGTTCTTCAACGGCTTGGGGACGATGGCGGGAGAGTAGAAAATCAACTTAAAGCCCGATTGTATTCCGTTTGCAATTCACACGTAGCGTAGGGTGCCTCTTTATTTGCGAGACGATTTTAAGCAGGTCTTTGAACGAATAGAGCGAAACGGAGTGATTCGTAAAGTGGACGAACCGACTGAATGGTGTGCGGGCATAGTACGCGTCTTGAAACCGACCTGTGCATTACGCATTTGAGTCGATCTAGCGTTCTTCGCGTACGCTCAGTCAGACGGAGAAGTAGAGAGCATGGCCAAAGCGGTAAGATCCCTGATGGCAAAGCCAGATGACCCCTACTTTGCACTATACTGGCTTATAGGGACACCTCAGGGCCTCTTGAGTAAAGCCCAGCGGAATTATGGGCAGGAGCCTACGTACTAGTCCTCTGCTGCACCCTCGAATTCTAGTTCCTCGAGCGGTCAGCCTGAACATGTTCCCAAACCAGGACCGTGCGTTTAAAAAAACGCAGCGGCGACACTTCGCTCGCCGCCATGCCGTCGGTCAACTTCAACCCCTCAGGCCAGCAGCTTCAGTTTGGGTGAAAGACTGCACGAAGGAGGCCATCGTCTTTCGTCCAGCCAATAAATTAAGGTCGAGACAATCTCAGGAGGGATTCTTGAGAAAAACCACAAGGGTCTGATTTCCTTGAACCCTAAGGAATCTTGTCCAGATTGTTCCGAGATCAGTTACGATTTTCCAAAGAAGGTAGAAAACCGCAGGCACAATTAGAGCCCGCTATGGCACAATATCCGTTGACTGCTACGCCTCCGACTTGGGTGTCACGTGACGGTCCTTTGCCGGCTACGTCTCCTGATTATGTATCCCGGTATGGACGTGCTGTCTGAAAACCGCAACGCTACGAAGCTGGCAGCTAGTTTGCTCAGTAGATGCTCGCTTGTCTAATAGTTTTGTTCGAAAGTGTTTGTATTTTGCACCTGGCAGGCTAGTTCTGTACGACTGATGTTTATTCGCCTAATAGCTCAGTTTGAAAGTGTTTGTTTCTTGAGCCTAGCAGTTGCCGGACTCAAGCTTGCTACGCAACGGTAGTACAAAAAAAAAAAAGAAAACAAGAAAAGAAAAAGGGAAGATGTGGCGACAACACATCTGACTCTCCCGACCTTTCTAGAAAGCGAATTACGTGATCCGGTGTGTCTTATCTATATATACCGCCTACCAAAGAATAAAGAACGTTTTTTCATTCTCCGCCGCTATTGGAATTCGTGTGAGTTATTCTCGCAGCTGCCCCTCAGCGCGGCGTAAGTGATAACGCGACATTAATGCTTTTGGCACTGTTTCTTCTTGCTAGAATAAGAACATCGTTTTTCTTGAGTGATCTCTGCTTAAAAAGATCCTACGACGCTTTTCTCGCTTTTGTATTTAATTTGCGTGATCTACCTAAGGAGTAATAGCATAGTAAATGGTATGTGTTTATGTATTTTAACATTTGAGTTATAAAAAAGGTAGTAAATAAAATAAATTTTGAGCGACAAAGGCCCTGTATTTTTTTTTTGCGCTGACACAGTTTGAATAAGCGATATACGACGTCGGCGTGCAACGACCACGAGCGATGTTCGTTGCCGCTAACGAAGCCCCATGTTCGCATTCAGTTATGAAGATGGTATCATCCGCAGATTTGTAGGTACTTCAGTGAAAACATGTAAGCAAATTTCGCGCCAACCAAAGCACTAAAAGGGATCACGTTCCCTTTTTAAGATGGTCCTGATCATGTACATGGTGTCACTAAACACTTTCACGTTTGACACCGATGAGCGCTGTTTCAAGGGTGTGAACTTGAAAGCATTTACAAATAACAGACGTCACGACAAAAAAAAAAGAAGAAAACATTTATTAAAGCAAATGTCTGCTGTAATATTTTTCGTTAATGATTTAGAAGAACTCTCCAAGGAGAAGGAGATACAGAAGAATAATGCAGTTAGCACCTGAAGATGAAGCGCGACTTGCGCCCTCTAGGCGTCTGGTGTGCTGCTAAAAAGAATTCGCCTAGTCCCGAGGCCTCTTCAAGGCTGGCGGAGCGCCCTGCTAAGTGAGCTAAAGAATTTTTTTTATTATTGCTGAGCTAAGAACATAAACAGCCGCTACCATAATTTACGCCTGGGGGCAGCTGTTAACATCCGTTTGCTCCGGTAACGGCTAGTTCCTGATTATCTCAGATGGTAGAACGCTCCGCTACTCTTGGGGAAATCCCAGGACCTGTAATATTTTAAACATCGTAGTAGACGACGCCCAACGTATAGAGGTAAAAAAAGGCGCTTGTGCCTACTTCAGTGAGAAGTATAAACGCAAATAACCTAGCGACCGAAGCGTGAAACAGGAACATTTCATTACTGCACGAGGTTTTGGGTGGCGAATACCAAGAGGAAAAGAGAGAAAAAGAAGGAAATATAAAGAGGGAGAGATATATATCGATACTACTTTACGCGCAATGTATAGTCACGAAAGAGAAAGAAAAGGAGGGAGCCCACCAACCTATCCTGTCAAACACATTGTTACGTTTGTTTTAATGAATTGAAAACTTCAAACGTGGTTTCAATGAAACATGGTGCTGTGGGTCAATCGATAAAATTTACGTTTAGTCTGGGTTTATGTTTTTATTTCTTGAATTGACAGGTAGAACGTGGGCGAAAATAAAATAATTTTAAGTCTAATTAACGTTTAACGAAAAATTAAAACAGCGCCATAAGAAACGGAGGACAAGAAGACAAATTGCACAAATAGAGCGCTGTTTGTACACCTCGTCTTCTTGTCCTCCGTTTTTATGGCGCTGCTTTACTTTTTCGTTAAACATCTACCACCAACTCGGCTAACTTTCCACCATATTACAAGTCTACTTCTTGCGCCATGTCGCTTTGAACAGGAAAAACGCAGCGTTTGTAATCGGTGTAAGGTGATCAAAGATAGCAAAATTACTTTCAGGAAGTAATTAAATTACGTTATGAATTGCTTTGCTGCAAGCTGCAAAATGTAATTAAATTACATTACAAATTATCGCAGGCTAAAATTAATGCATTACATTACAATTGCGTTAGAGAAGTAACGCAATTACTTTGGCATTACTTTTCAATACCTTGAGACAGTAAATCGTGCTAATTTATTTACACTATATCTACCAGCGCTCAGATATGTCTGTTTACACAGCAGCAGCCTCATGCACCTCAAAGTTAACCATACTGAACAGTCGTTCCACTGGCGCTCACGACTGAAGTGTTAAACATGATGAATAGTTTCCTCTTTAGATGTGACTCAAAGACGATTGATTCATCAGTTACGCTGTTCATTCAAAGGTGAAAGTTATTAGGTAAAGGGTGATGTGATTCCGTCTCTTTATTTGAAGAAGCTATAGTCCGCGTCAAAAACTTAAGTCGGGCTATGTGAGCTCGTTCTTACAAGACGTCGTCATGTGAAGCGTCTCTCACCCGACTCAAGAGCCCCCAGTCTAATCCTTTTTTTTTTAACACTAGCTCAGGCATTGACTAACATTCATCTCAAGTAATATTTAAAAAAATTAAAAAAACAAACAAACAGAAGAGCGCACTCTATTGCGCGC